TGCAGACACTGCTCTGGGGCCCGGGGGCCGCGCTCCGGAGCCGCGGAGCACCGCTAGGGCCCTGGCTGCGGGTGCGCCGCGCGCTGCTGGTCCTTCACCTGGCGGAGCGGGCCGCGGGCGGGGAGGCGCCTGGCCTGGAGGACTGGCTGTGCTGTGAATACCTGCTGGAGGCCACCGAGGCGTCGGTGGGCTGCGCCCTGGACCTGCTGTGGGGCTGAGCCCTCCCAGAGCCCACACGCCTGTTCCAGGACCTCTCCAAGAGGCAGGCGCCCCTTTCTCAGAGATGGGGATGATGGCAGTGTCTCCACAGTAGGGTAGGTCCCCCCTTCCAGAAGGAGCCAGAAGGCCGGCAGAGAGCGCCCCAGTGGGGACGCTCTGTGCAACGCCTGCCCCTTCCATGCTGGGGACTTAGGCCCAAGGCCTCCCCAAGAGGGCAGGGAGCTAACGGCCAGTGCCACCTGAGGCTTTCTGATGCCAGGGCCACTCACCTCTCTTCCAGGTGAGGATGCTCCCTGCCAATCAATGTCACTCTGAGCGTGTATCCCTCCCCCTCCCCCTTCCAGAAGCCAGGGTGCCCTTCTAATGCCAGGCCGACAGTCTTTGTCTCCACTATGGCTCAGACACTTCTTTCAGTGCCCACATGGGACATACGCCTGGTCCTGGAGAACCCCCTGGTGCTGGAGATGGCCAGTGACTCCTCCAGTGTGACTGTCCTTGTCAGGGGGCTTCTAGGGGGAGGGGAGGGAAAGGAGCCCGCCCAGCACAGCCCACCCCAGCGAGGTGTGAACTCACCTCCCCGATGTTCTCATATCCTGCCACCTCCCCCATGCTCTCTCCACCCACCATGGCCTCCTTGCTGTCCCTGTCCCAAGTAATTCTGTCCGGCTACCCAGCCTTTGCATGAACTGTCGCCTCTGCCAGACTGTGCCGCCCCACCTCTTCTAAGTAAATAAAGTGGGCCCCTGGGCCCTTCCCAGCTCCTCACCCTGCTTCCCCTCTGCCCCAGAGTATTGATCTCCACCTGGAAGTGTTTATTCACCTCAGACCTGTCACTTGTCCACCTTACCCATCAGGCTGTGAGTTCCCTCAGGACAGCTGCCAGGTTTAACACACAGTGCCTAATTAGTAGGACAGAACGATGGAATAAACAAACTGTGTGCAAGACTCATCAGGGACATGAGAGAGAGAACAGGCTCTCGGTTTGTGCCTCTGAAAAATGGACACAGGTGCTCTGGCCTGGGGCCTCATCGCGCTGCCTCATTCCCCGACCCCTAGCATGGTGATTCTGAGGGATCTTGGTGACCCCCGGAACGACCAGGCCCCTGTCCTGCTCAGACCTCTCCCACGACACCCTAGGGCCCCCGGAATACACTGGAGCTCCTCCCAGGGCTCCGCAGGCCGTCCCGACCTCCGCCACACTGCCCGCCATGGAGGTACCCTCTGGCCTCCCCGCCTCGCCCAAGCTCCACCCTCTCCTAGAAGTGCCCTCCCCTCTACTCTGATTCGCCCTTCCGCATCCTGGCCCAACGCCCTCTCTGCCTGGGGATGTGTGTGTCCAGCTCCGTCTCCCAGGCCTTTGAAGACTGGCTCTATATTCGCTCAGGTGGCCGACTAACCCACCCCACACCCAGATGAACTCCAGTCCCCCAGCACCTTTCCCCTTCCCTCTGCAGCCCATTTCTCATCCGAAGCCTAGATGTGAGCGGGGCGATGCTCCCCCATGCAGCCAGCAGGTGGCATTGCAGTCCCGCCTGTCCAGGCCTTCAGCACAACCCCCAACCCTCGCCCCGACTAGGAGACCATCTCTGCCAGGAGTGCTCCTGCCCCAGCTGCGCACTGCAACGCCCTGCCTCTAGAAGCAATGAGGATGCACGGGAGTCCTCAGACACTGAAGGGGGGCCCAGTCACACCTCCACATGCCCACTGAAAAAGTCCCTAGCTAGCCCCAGCCTCAGGCAGAGGTCGAGGTATCAAGGATGAGCAAGAAGTTGGCCAGCCTCCGGGTCATAGGAAAAGGGAGTCCAAAGTGTAGGGTGGGGTGCGGTGCTTCAGAGCAGCCCAGAGACAAGAAGGATGAGGCAAAGGTACCGGGGTGGGGATCTGGGACTCTGCACCAGCCTCACAGCCAGCACCTTCAAAGGAAACCTGGCTGTGGCCAAAGGTGAGACCAAGCCCTTGGATTACCATACCAGGTCCCCCCACCCTGTCAAAGGGGTCACTCAGGAGGCTTGCACGGCACCCCTACCTACCCCCAGCCCAAGACACCCCTGCCAGCCTCCAGGAACCCTGACACCACCGAGCCGAAAACAGGTCTTTGAGATGTAATCAGTTTTATTTGATTTTTGAGAGCAATAGAATAGATTAATACGTCTTTCCAAGTTAAGACCTAAAACTGTTTCCAAAACTTCAAATAAATTCCTGCTCGAAGTACAAGGATAATCTGAATCATCTTAAACCAGCAATAAAAAAGTAAAATATAAATTTTTATTTAGAATTAAAGCAAATACTTCAGTATCACAAACACAATATTAAACTTCAAGAAATATATCGCTAATTTGGAGTAAGCGTTTATTTGCACAATTACAACATGCGGACAAACCCAGAAGAAGGGAGGCGGGCCTGGCAGCTGCACCCCGTGCGCAGTTGGTCACACCGCTGGCGTAAGCGCGACAAAGGGGCTGCGGTCTGTGGTGACCTGGGGGTGGCGGCGAAGGTGAGGGGTGCAGGCGGCTCGGCCACTAGCCGACCTCATCAGAAGACTCTCTCTCAAACGTGTAGGCCATGAAGCAAGCGTCGGGTCTCTTGGGGACAAGGGGGTGCCCTGGTCTCACAATCTCAAAGCCCATAAAGCTGAAGGTGCGGAGCAGGGCGGCTGTGGAGGAAACCGAGTCAGAACCCCCAGGCTGCCAGCACCTGGGCTTAGAGCCCACCTGCCCACCCACATGACAGCCCCTAAAGGCAGGCCCGGGGGCTTTGCCAACAGGGAGGGGGCAGGGCAGAGTGGGGACAGCAGCAGGGTGGCCTGAGCTGTGGACAGGATGAGTGGGCGCCAAGGTCTGAGAGTGGGACCATGGGCGGCAGGCTACACCCCAGGCCCTGCCCCACAGGGAGTGGGTGGCCTTCTCCTTTCAACCCGGCAGGAGCAGATGGCCCCGCTGGTCACCCACCTCTGTCGTCGCGGTTCTTGTGGAAGCAAATGAAGACGTGGTCAGTGTGCAGCTGCTCCTCAGCAAATTCGAGAAGGACTGCAAAGCTGAAGCGCCGCGTCAAGATCTGCCCACCCGCCCCTCTCCAAGGGCCGGTGAACCACAGCACCCTTCTGCCAGGTCACCCCTTGGAACCAGCCATCCTCTGTGGGAGACTGTCCTGGGCACTGCGGGTATTGAGCATCCTCGGCCCCACCTACTCAACACCAGGAGCACCCCCAGTGTGACAACCACATAAGTCCCCAGCTATGGCCCAATGTCCCCTAGGGGGAATCCTGAAAATTATTGGTCCACTGCTTGAAAATGTACCCCTCAGGCCCGTCTGGCTCCTGACTCAGGCTCCGCCTCCCCGGGGGCGAGTGGTGACTCTCAGGGGGCCCTCACCTGTCCTTGGCCCCCTCGGGCAGAGCGCCGCCTGGAATCTCCACGTACAGGCTGCCACTGCTCAGCACCGCCCTCCAGTGGACGCGCTTGGCGTCTGTGAGCCTGGTCTGGAGGTTGAGAATTCTGGCCTTGTCGTTGGACGTTAGTTCCTCT